GTGTGTGTATATATGTGTATGTATTATTTAAAAAAACAATTAATAATTTGGTTTCTGTCAACTGCTCAGACAAGACATACATTTGTAATTTGTAATAAAAAATATGTAGAATAAAGTAAAAATTCCTTAACTGGAAAGTGATAGATTTATTATATATTAATATTATTTATTATTATATATGATTGTTTTTCTTTTAGTTGGTTGAGCTGTTAAAATAGACTAAAAACCATTCACCATGCAACCAGCTGCTTCATTAACAATCACCTTTATATTATTGTGACTGTAATACCTTTTTTAAAATATATATCGTGCTACATATAAGTCAGGTCTCTGTTTCCTGCTTGCTGAACATAAAGATGCAGATATAAAATCACTGTGTGCTTTATTATATTGCTCAATATTGGACTAATCTTACCTAATCAAAGCCATTGTCATCTGCACGTACAGAGTACTTTTAACATACTTTTGAAATCTCAAACAGCTGCCTGAGATAAAGTCTTCAGAAATAACATCCACTGCTTAAGTTTTGACTAAAAATAAGTTAATTTAACTACTTATTCTGTTTTTGTTTTTGTGTTTACTGTAGAAAGGGACTAAAAGAATAAATCATCAATTGGTTTAGATTGAATTTCTGTTGGATAACTAATTTGATTATTAACTAATTGTTTCAGCAGAACAGGAGACTATCATTTGGTAACACAAAGAGCAGTCTGTATTCTCTGTACCTGGTCACACCTTTTTGTAGTAAATGAAGTGTACTAGAAAATAAAAGCACAGATTCTACTAGTGAAACCCTCAGTGGTGAAGAAGAGCAGTCAATTGTGTAACTGGCGGTAGATCTTCAGTAACAATTAGATTTTGTCATTTATTTAGACAGGTTCCATGTAGCCAATTACACATCAGTAGTATAAAATCGAGAATACTTATTTATTATGCACAGAACCAGTCTGTAATTTACTGTAACATTGAATACACATACAAACTCGTGCTTTCTAGGACATATGTCCCTAATTAACCCCCCAAGGATCACAAGAGCCCCAATGACTTAACATTCATTTCCCTTTAAATAATCTTACGTGGCTCTGGCAATTTCCAGTTACTGCTGATAAATAAGTCCATTTGATTCCAGTATTGTGTAAACATGAATTACAGTCAACCCTCTTAGGCAAATACATACTTCACAAATGTAGTTAGTGTGCCACAGAGATAAGGAAAGGCCTGTCGTGTCACCACTAAGTTATTTCCTTTGTGTGTTCTCTAACTCCATGACCTCTGACAAGAGGCTGTTGCGTTCATTTTATTTAGTCATTGTGGTAAAGAAATGCTGTATCAGCGCTGAGTGATTTCAAGGCTACTGTTGCAAACCTATCAGCACAGACCATAAAGCTTTGGAAGAGTGGCAGTTCTAGGGGTTGTCCTAAACTCTGTCGGATGTTTGGCTCAGCACATTGAAAAAAGGGCTGTCTGCTGCTTGTTTTCCCACAGATAATGCCCCTTTCAGTTGGACGGTTGAGTTTCAAAGCCCCATGAAGGCGTTTAAGCTCCCTACCCTGTTCCTCTTAATAGTCCCATGACAGGGCTATGACAGGAAGACTTGACTCCGAATGCTTTAACCTGACTTTTCCAAGCTTGCATGCAATAGTACTTTCCAGAACCAGAAGGAGGGCGGACTCAGAGTATTTATTTTTTTGGTTTGTTTTTCACTTCAGCCGGTAGTGTGTAAAAAATAGAGACAATGACAGATCTTCTGATATTCTCATGTAATGCAGGAGATATTTGTGATTAATCAGAGCAAAAAATACAATCCAATTGAGTAGCATTATAACTGAAACAATCAGTTGATTAATTAGTTGATTGGAATTATATTTAAGTCCCTAAAGTTTTCAACAACAGGACATCCTGAACATCAAACTGGAACCAAATCCTCTGGTTGCTCTGTTTAGAGGAACGTTGCTCTGCCCACTCATGATTGACAGACATCATGTCCTGCTTAAAACCTGAGAAAATCACTTACTCACTTCAACATTCAAGTGGGAAATTACTGGAAACCCAGGGGCCTTAACTACGTTATACTACTATATATATACTTTAATTAATTTACCGCAAGCTTTGAGTGTGGCAGGCAGGTATCAGAATATATAGCTCGCTGGCAGTGACTGGGGAGGGATTCTTTTATTGTTAACATAAATATACAGTCTCTTTTTGTTCTGTTTTGTGTCATTGATGCATTGTTTACATGTCGGCATTAGTGCCAGCTGCTGTCATTTTATATCCATGCTTGTTATAGTCTGCAAATCTAAAAAAACAACAACTAAATTACAACCTTCCTGAAGGAAGGATTTATTGCAGGACTGTTGCATTAGACTGCATTAGTTATAGCTATCTGATAAATTAGTTACTGAGTGTGCTTTTGGATACAATTATAGCTAAAACAATTTGTCAATAAATCAATTTGTTTATTGACATTAACAAAACAGTTTTATTATTGAAATGATTGTTCCAGTTATATTTCAAGCAAAAACAGCAAAACGTTCTCTGGTTTCAGCTCCTTAAATGTGAGCATTCACTGTTTTTCTTCCATATATAATAGTCAACTCAATATCTTTGGGGTTTGGTGCGATAAAACAGGGAATTTGAAGATACGTACAAATCCACAGAACAATTTATCTGTTATTCGAGAACATAATCATAGCTAGGTGTACCTAATGGTATAATATAACCAAGAGATGCTGCCAGAGGCAAAGTATTCACACACAATGTGCCCTTTCAAGAATCCTGCATATTTCAGCAACAAAGGTTGTTTCTGTTTTCAAAGTGCACCTAACTTGCAGAACTACTCTGTTTCCTTCTGCAGTGCCGCTCATGCAGTTTGCTGTTTTAAGTCTGTTTTTGAACTGTTCTGTCTTTTAAAGTTTAGTGTTTAGTCAAGTTGAGTTGACCTGTCTGTGTCTCCTCAGGCCGTGAACAGTTCCACGGGTTGGGTTCAATGTACTGTCGAGGTGCAGCCGCTGTCATCCTCACGTACGACGTCACCAACTGGCAGAGCCTAGCAGAGCTGGAAGAACGCTTCCTGTCCCTGACTGATACTGCCAACCATGACTGCATTTACGCTGTAGTGGGCAACAAGGCTGATCTCACAGACCCTAATGCCCAGCTGTATCAGGACTCCAATGTGGCGCCTGAGGACCAAACTGAGTGTGAGGAGGAGAGGCCAGAACCACAGGTGCTGTCTGCTTGCCCCACACCCCCGGCCTCCCCTGCGTCCCTCTCTGGGTCGGTGCTGCACAAACAGGTCGCCCCTGAGGATGCAGTGGCTTTTTATGGGAGAATACTGCGCTACAAGGGCCTGGACGAGAAGAGCAGCCTGCCGGCAGAGAAGATGTGCTTCGAGACGAGTGCCAAGACAGGTTACAATGTGGACACTCTGTTTGAGGCGCTGTTTGATCTGGTGCTGCCTTCCATCCTGAGAAAGAGAAATGAGAACCAGGAGTCTCCTACAGTGGACCTGGAGGAGTGCAGGGGAGCCAGCAACAAGCGGGCCAGATCTTCTTGCTGCTAGGACCTGGAAGGTGGAGAGGCTGCTTCATGTAGAGACTTGTTTTTAACTATGGACAATCAACAGGTTGGTCTGCACACCAAATACATACTGTGATGGTACTACTTACCTGCCTTGACTGAGACCTAAAAACATCAATGACCTCTCTGTAAATCACTCACTCACACACTAACACAGACTCTTGATTCTGTGAAGACGGTCAGAAAAAGCAACTAGCGTTCAGTGTCCAGTGTCATTTGAAGTATTTCTTTTTGTATGGAAAGGAAACAAATGGGTGTTACGTTATCACGACTGAAACTGCACTTAGGCCATAAATGTGTCTGAAGACAAATAATACACATAAGAAGTCAATCACTGCTTTTTGTTTATGTTTTAGAAAGACGATGTCACAGATTTAACAGCACTAATTGTTAGGTGGTGGCATATTGCACTGTATATTTCATAAATCACACTTCTTTTGTTTTCCTTTATACTCTGTTACTAGCGTCGTTTATATTTTTACTGGCACATTTGAACCTGTTGAATTTTTAAGTACGCTGTCATAATAAAGATTTTTATTTTGCTGTTTGTCTCCTCTTTCAGTTTAAGATAAGCTCTTGAGGGTAAAATGACACAGTCACAAAAATAACAAACAACATTTAATCTTTACAATCCAATGAAATGATCATGTTATGAAAATTACCATTATATTACAATTAAATCAAATGTTGTCAGTACATTTCCGGTCTAATCAAACTGTTTATTTGCAAACAAATGTATGTAGATGAAGTTGAACATTTGACCTACTTTATAAACTGTGTAAAATACTCAAATCTAACCCAGGATCAGTGACCATAACAAAGATTTGCTACAGTGAGACCTTTGATCCAAGCTGTTTACATTCTGTCCTGTTGGCAATGTGGGGCAGATCAATAATTAGTAGATTTGTGAATAAAAATGAGTGTGACATGAGTAGCATTAGATAAGATATATATTTAAACTCTTAAGGACAGGGGGTCAAGTTCATTCAGCTGATATAAATACAAAAAGAATCAGTGCATTGTGTGAATGTATGGCGTATGAAAAGTAAGAAGCTGATTTTTTTTACAATAGTTGATAAATGCATAGAACAGATTGAAAAGACTTATAAAAATAGGTTTTGTAAGAGCAATGAAATACTGTCAATAGTATCAACCAACAATTGTTCAAGACATCTAATGACACATTCTTCAGTTGGCTGGGAAGCAGTGTTAGTGGCTTTATGGTGGGCTGTATACCCTAAACAATAAAAACATCTAGATAAACTGAAGCAGTGCATACACACGGGCGTCTTTGGTTCAGCTGTAGTAGACGGTCTCTGATCATTAATGTGTCATAGTAGCTGAGGTAATAAGTTAAACAGTAAGCACCAATCCACATTTAACACAAAAATACTTGTTTTCCCATAATGCTGTTGACCTCATTATGGGGCTTCTCCTGTTTTATCTACAGTGGGACATTTCACTCTAAAAGCTCATGGCGTCGCATAGTCATTGCATATCTGAGCTCTGTGGCTCGGGGAGACCGCTTCCCATTTACATCAATCTAAATCAGTATTTCAGATCCCCTTTTGTGTGGTTTAGTACGTGGATAGAGATACGATGCTAGATCACTGCCAATGGAACAGCTTCTTTGTTACTGTAGTCTTTCACAAGTTCTTCATGCAGACCTGGCAGCGGCTGATGCGCGACAGGAGCTGGCCTGCTTTGAGTGTCTCTGATGCCGGGTCAGGGTGGAACGACTGATCTATGGAGGTTAGCCAGAAGCTGTGCTTGTTAGCAAAGTAGTGGCATGTGCCTTTGGCCCCGTTACACTCAATGAACGGTGTTGTGCGGAAGTCCTCCAGGCAGGAGCCAGGCGATGACAAGGACTGACCTCCGCCTTCATTCCCTGCTGCTGTATGCTGTGGAGACAAAGGTGAGAGGAGGAGAAAATGAGGCAGGTGTGAAGTCAAATGTACACTAAAGTATTTGTATAAGTACAAAACCAACAATGAATTAGTCTACTGACAAGTATCGCCTCAGTAGCCACAGCCTGACCTTACTTATTCATTTCCCATTAAAAACACATCAGTGAGTTATATTGTTGTACTATGTGACGTGTTTCTTACATTGAAAATGAGTACTGTAGTTAACTTTGAATAATACATCCTCCTCCTGCCATAAATACTCACTAGCTGCAGCTGAAAATAATTCCCAACAAATACATTATTTACTCCTGTTTGGAAATGTCTGCTAAAAATCACAGAGCGACCAAGTAGGATCAATGCTTCCAAAAGAAAACTAAATCCTGTATGATGATGGCAAAAGTGCCAATCCCCTTGTAACAAGAGGCAATTATGTTTCAACCCTTCCATAAAGTTATTAGGGGAAAAAAATATGGACCTAGTATAGGTCAAGCTTTAAAAATGCCGGAACCACTTCCCACACTGCAACTTGAGAATTCCTTTTCATGAGACCCTCCCTGTCTGGTAAACACCCACATCTCCACATTCCCAGTTTGTAATGCAGGCTGTCTGTTATAAATCTGTAGTCTACCATCCAAGATTTTTTCCCAATGCTCCTCCAAAGCCACAGAATTCATTATAGAACTGTTCTGGACTGAGGATTAATACTGCCCCTTAGTATTAGTTAGTTACCATTTAATGATAACAGACATTAGCACTAACACTATAATTAGTATGTTTTGTAATGGTGGTTGTATCAAGGTCTCACAATTAACAGTGAAATGATGAAGATGCATCCTGATATTTTAATTTTACACATATTTGTCTGGAAGGAGGACCAGAACCCACCATGAGATAGGAGTAGCCGATCCACAGGCTGCGCCAGCCCGCGGGACACTGTGGGATGGTGATGTCCTGGCTGTGGACTGCGATGGCCACTGATGGAGCTTCGCATACTGAGCAGCGACTGATATACGGTTTGATGTCTTCCTCTTCCACAGGCATCATAGGCAGAGGAGCAGTCGTTGACAACCAGTAGGACTTATCATTTCTGCTGGCGTAGTAACAGATGTCTCCAGGATTGCAGTATAGGAAGGGCATGGTGCTGAACCGCGGGAGGCAGGAGCCAGCCAAACCTAAACAGGACAAACAACCAAATCATAATTAATGCAAAGAATAAATTACATTATAAAAGGTTGGATTCTAGTCCAAGATCTTAATATGGATTTGAATGCAATGGAGAACCTAACATTGCTTTAAAGTGGACCTAGTGGCCACTGTGACTGTATCACAGCTGACAGCTATGGGATAATGGTAAATGCTGTATAAAATGTAGTGTAACAGTAGCGCAAGTAGATAAGAAAAATAAAGTCAAAGTGATTCAATCACATGTTTTATCCAACAACCAGCCAGTTTACCACCACGAGCTACTAGATCATATTAGACCAAGGAAAGCTGTAGCAGCAAACCCTGTATTTAACTTCGCCAATTCAACCTTCAATTTCTAATTGAAGGAATCTGTTATTTCTTTATCAAAAGTTATATAATCTTGTTGGATAGGTGGTAAAAATGTATTGTAAAAAAGTATTTTATCCTCTGGAAATTAGTTCAAGCTATGTGCGGTGTAAAATGTTTCACTGTGGCTAAATCAGTACTGAGATGAGAGTGGGGATGAATTTTTGCCTGATTCATTTTCTGGCTTTAGAGTTTCTCATATTTAGTGAAAGATGGTCAAATTTAATGAGGAATTCTCTCTCCAGCTATATTCTGCCTCTTATGTATAGTTCATTAATTTAGAGACACAATCCTCTTACATTGATTCTAAGTCAATATAAGTCAGTGTTAAATGCAGGCTTGAACTCAATTGAATTAGATGTTGTGGATGGGAGCACAAGCTTGTGGGAAGGAATATATCACAACTGAGATAGTACTGCCTTAATGCACAAGAGATGGCTGCGAGATAATTTAATGAAATACAAGTCTGTCCTCTTCTGTAGTCAATAAAGCCTATTCTCCCTCTCCTTTTTAGCCCTATCATGCCAATGTAGCTCTACTCGAAATGTGAAATTAGGACACTTGCTGGTTTAAACGCCCCCAAATCAAACTCAAGCCCGACCTCTATGGAATGTCTTCTGGTTCATTGGATCACAATGTCAGCAATTTAATGTGGGAATGTTCGCCTGACCATCAATGCGTTCAGACACGACTGTACTGTAACAACCTCACACTGGCAGACCTCCAAGGTAATCTATTATGAAAATCCATGTAACAAAATTATACCCTACAGAATACACAAATGTCCCTAAGAACATTAACATACTGTAGAACAATTTTATAGTTCACACTGACTTACCCAGATCCTGGTTGTGGGCCTTTTCCTGGCCCTCAAAGTACAGCAGACTGTAGCCGTCCCACAGTTTAGACATGCCCACAGGACACATCGGGGTCTGTTCTGCCTGACTGTGTTTTACCAGCAAGTAACCCACGCTGACGCTGCGGCCAGGCATACCAGGTAACCCAGGGATACCAGGGGTGCCACGGTGACCTATCGAGGGATGAGAAGTTGAGAACTATGTACATACACATACTGTATACACTCGATATAACACTGTAAACTTTACTAATACCAATATATCTGAATTTAGGATACCTTCATTCATATGGCCTAATGCTTTCTTAACTCCCCTCAAGCCCTGACACCATCTCTGCTAACATAATTACATAATAATACAAATAGACCTCTAGTCCCCAGCTCAGTACTAATCATTTTCAGATCAATGCTTATTCATTCACTAAACCGACTTTCACAAAAAATAACAATCAAAAACCTCTTGGTAACTGGTTCCTTGCTTAAATCTCTACCTACTTTAAATCCTTTAATCCAGTCTTATTAACCTAATCCTAACACTGCCACACGGCGTCAGACGCACCTTCCATGCCTTGCAGACCGGGGTGACCCATTTGTCCATTATTTCCACGAAATCCAGGTGTCCCTGGGGTACCACCAATCCCAGGCATGCCCTTCTGCCCAATGGGCCCCATGAAACCTGTACAGTAAGAGGATACACATTGTTACACATGTTGCTGAGCTGGACATTTCTCCAACAACAAATGCATTATTAGAATAACTAACCTGTATCCCCAGGCGGGCCCTGTGGCCCTGGTACCCCTTTGTTCCCGTTTGGTCCTTGGATACCCTGCGGTCCTGGAGGGCCCCTCTCCCCTGGAATTTTGACGGGAATTGGAGGAGAACCCTGGTTGCCTGGGAATCCACGAACACCTGCCGCACGGGAAGATAGCGTAATGATGAAGACAAAAAAACACAAAAGCATATATCTGGCAACTAGTACACAGTCGGTACAATTTGCCAAAGTGCAAAATTTACCTGGGAGTCCAGTATCTCCTTTTGGACCACTTGGCCCTCTTTCCCCCCTTTCTCCAGTCGCACCAGGAAATCCCATCAAACCTTGCTCTCCTTTCACTCCTGTAAGAAAAAAATAGCATATATATATATGTATAAGACCGTACACAGAATGTAGCTGGTGATCATATTATCAGACTGTATGGGCCTGCAGACAGGTGCATTCAGGGGATTTTCAG